CACACACACACACACACACACACACACACACACACCAGAAAGAGGCTACTTGCTTCACACACACACACACCCACACACACACACACACATTAAAAAGAGATGTCTGCACCCAGTGTGGACAGACACACACACACACACACACCAGAAAGAGGCTACTTGCTTCAGTTATTCTTAATTCCAAGAAACATTAATGTTTTAAGAAAGAACTGGTGTTACCCAGATTATTAATCTGAACCTTGTTTTCAGTAGTTTGAGACCTTCTTTCGTAAATAACTTTTATGATAACTTTTGTTCTTTCTATTACCTTTCCAAGTCCAAACCTTTAGGTAAAAGCTGTTTGCATTTGTTGCCCCCAAGAGAGCCATAACAAGATGAAATGGTTTTATTATTCATTTAACAACAAGCATTCTTGAATATTAAATTTAGCAATGAGTAGGATGCATATAACTATATATAGTAAGCATATAACTTTATGTTTAAAATAATTAAAAGTATTGAATCTTGACTCCTGCAATAGAGTTTACTGCAGCAAAGCATAAACTCAGTAGCAAATGCTACTGCTCTGCTAGATTCAGGAGATGAAAAAGATGAAGAGCAATTATTTATTTAACTTTGATTTTCAAAAGTAAACTTATTGGATTGACGATCAACTTCTTTTCATAAATATTAAAGGTAATTAACTGTCAAAAATAAGTCATAAAAAAAGTGTGATTTGGGAGGTGTCAAAAGAGCAAAGTTAACACAATAATCACGTAGCTTGACTGGTGATTAGATTTTTCCACCTCCATGTTACTGAAAACTTGTCAATCTTCTTAAGTATTGTGTAGCTTCTCTATTGAGAAAACTGAGAAAGGAAATGCCATTTTAAGCTTTCTTAAATTTATTTGAAATATATTGTCAAGGAAGGTCCAACAGTGTTTACTTTTGTAGATGAATATATTTAGGTGATGATAATCCAAAGAAACCAAAAGTATATTTATTGAATGATGAACCACCTGCTGCTTTCATGTAATTCTTGGAATTGTCTAAATGTATATATCTTTATTTTTAATATATATTATTATTTTTAATAATATGGTTTTTTAGTAGTGTGATATCATAAAAGTTACTAATAATAAAAATGTTCAATTTTTCTGTGTGTAATAGAAAGTAAAATTTGTTTTATTTTTCCTTTGTATTAAAAATTTGCAGCCATTATATGACTTCCAAACAATTCAGAATATAGTAATTTATTTACTTTTAAAGAATGTTTAAGAAAGATAATTTATCAGTTTGTTCTCTAAGAAGTATAGCTACAAATTACAAAAAGTTCACTGAATTGAAAGCTTATAAACATTTTCTTACAACTGGGTTTCTTTAAGATCTTTTAAAAGGTATATTAGATTCTGAAGCTCTTGACAGTGATAGAAAAATTTGAGATATAGAAACAATTGAGTGTTGTTAGCATTATTTAATCAGTTAATGATACTTCCTTTGAGATGAAACATAGTATATTCTATATTATAACACAATTTTTTATACTTGATACACCCTTAAAAACAAACATTACTGAAATCCAGATTATCTTCAGCACTGTCTCTTTTTGTTTTACTTTGTTGATTCTTAGTCTTTCTAAATCTTTTTTTGCTGCTAAGATGGGAAAGCAATGTGACATAAATATATTAATACATCACCATGATTTTTGTCTTAGGAATTTGAGCAGTTTAACAGGAGGTTAAATGAGGTTTCTAAGAGAGTTCGGATACCCTTGCCTGTGTCTAATATACTTTGGGAACATTGTATACGATTGGCTAATAGAACTATTGTGGAAGGGTAAGTTTGTCATGAAAGCATTATCTGCTTCTTCAGTAATGAATCATAATATATGTACAATGTTATATATTATCATTAATGGGTGGAGATTAGGTAGAGAGAGTGGTAAATAGCAGACAGTCCCATAATAATTCAGGTTTCACTTTGGAATATAATCAGAGGAGAAACCTTAAACCTCACTACACCACCTCTGGCCAATGCTTTCTTTTCTTGCTGGTGACCTAGAATCACTTAGTAGAGGAATGAGGAATGAAGCATCTAGAGCTGATCTGAAAGTTAAACTCATAATTATTATTGTTACCTAATAATATGACTATGATTATACCTAACATTTATTGAGCACTCTGTGTTATTTACTAAGCCAAACACTTCAAAGGATTATATCACCAAATCCTAACATGAACACTCCTTGATAGAACCACTATTCTCTCTGTTTCAGCAATGAGAAAGCCTAGACTTCGAAAATCAAGGCATAAAGAGGTCAGATAACTTCTCCAAGTACACACAGTTTTTAAACACAGAGAAGGTTATGAACTCCTGATTTTCTGATGGCAAAATCACTTTTCATAACCACTGTATCCATATTAATATTATTATTATATCATTTTAAACTGTATAAATCTTTCATCTATTGAGTTTACAGATCTAGCAATAGTTATTTTCCCACTTTCTCAGAGACCATGTTCACTCTGGCCTATACCATTTAGAACACAAATGAGAATCAGTGATGCATTTAAACTATCCCTGGAAAGCAAGCTCCTATTTCAAACACTATTCATAGTGATCTAGAATTACACATCACCTGAATTTTCATACTATCATTCATCTGATTTCTCTTCAGTTCTTACTTGCTATTGAAAAGAATGTTAGAAAGTGGGAAGCTGACAACAGATTTGGAACTCTGTATTGAAACCAGCAGGGTTATAAATCACAAAATAGCTGTGTGAACAAAAATTTTATATTTACTTTTAAAAAAGGTTGCTTCCTTTAAATAGTAAAAGCTTTAGTTTTCTTACAGATTTCCTTAGGGAAATTCAAGTATTGAACAGTTTTATGAAACTAAGGTTACTTAGTTTTATAACTTATTCTTGGCAGCCAGATTAACTGGAATAACAGTTTTACTTTCTTACAGATGATTATGTTAATTGAGTCTGGAGAACTGTGATCTGTGAAGCAGCAAAGAACTTTAGAAGTTTATTCAGTTTCTTTGCTTTGCAAATGAGGAAACTGAGGCCCAGATAGGTCAAAGGACTGTTGTGTGGCCAAACACAGCCCATCCTTCTAGCACAGGGCTCATGTGCTTTTTTTCCTGTAATCCTCTCATTGTGGAGTATATGTCCAAATACGGGTTAAAGAAAAGTTTAAGTAGCTACAGATTTCTTTTTCTAACCATCCCATCATTTATGTTTTTATTGTGGTATATTTTAGGTATGCCAACGTCAAGAAGTGTAGTAATGAGGGTCGTGCCTTGATGCAATTGGATTTTCAACAGTTTTTAATGAAACTTGAAAAACTAACAGATATTAGACCCATTCCTGATAAAGAATTTGTTGAAACCTATATAAAAGCCTACTACCTAACTGAGAATGACATGGAACGCTGGATCAAAGAGCACAGGGTGAGAGCTGGAAAACAGCTAATTAAGTTTTTATTCCTTTTCCTTTGTGCTGTTCTTGTCTGGTCTATTGTATAATTCAAAGTCATGAAAGTGAAATGTGAAAGGAAACACCACTTCTTTACCATATTCACACTGTGTCTGTGCAGTGCCCTTTGCCTAATCAAATCCTTTTGAAATCTTGTGAACTGTAACAGTAATTATCTGGAAAGGTAGCCAGAGTCTGAACTTTAACTGTGTTTATCCTGCAGCTGTGTGTAGGAAAAAGCTGAAGTTGGTTAACATCAAGACAAATTGGATATAGCAACATTGAAATGATTCACACACTAAAGTCTATTATATAACTTAAACTTTCTTGTAGCTTTCAACAATGAATTGGTGACAGCCTAACACACTGACATGTAATAGTGATTATTGAATATATTAATATTTAAATGGCTAAATTTAACTTCACCCTGCATTAGATTTTTGCCTTATGTATAGATGTGATTATTTTTCTTCTGTGTGGATGCATAGATAAGTAGAGAAAAATGCCATTTATTAAGTATTTAGAATGATGAATTTTTGACACAGTTCAACTCAACATATATCACCAGAGAATACTCAATGCAAGGAGCTTTTCTATATGATTGTTATATCATTTGTCTAAATAGGTAGTGTGTGAAGACAGACTTAGTGAAAATATGGGAAGTGTTAAAATTATCACCAAATCTTATTCCTTCGATGTTTATTTAGGCTATAAGCATCATAGGTGAAAGCTTAGTAAATTTTTATTTCATTCGACTGGATAAGGAAATAAGGAATTATCTATATTTACTTTATCATCCACATCCTTCCTGGTTCCAACACTCTGGAAAAAATGAAATGAATATTAGCCTGAGTTTTGTATAAGTGTGCCCATTACAGGTCAGTTTCAGATTTTGGGAGCAAAGTTGAAATATATATGTTACTTGTGATTCTGATCTGAAAAAAATGTCACCACTACTAGTTCCATTGACCTCTGACATTTGAGAACCCAAATGCTGAAGGAGTTGCAGGCAGACTGCTGAATGTTACTGGAGTCAATTTAGTAGAGGATACTGCAAACACTTTAGGGTTGGTGCTGAGGAAAGGATTTGGGAAAAGTAAAGCAGCTGAGGAGGAAAAAACACAGCTCTGAGATATCCATTATTTGATTGAGATGATCCCCATTTTCAGGTTTCCTCTTTAATGTAGTGGACTAAAATGTTTAGCTTGGTATTTTTGGAAGAGCTTTAACTAACTGATATTTGTGATTCAGTGAAACTTTCCAAGGAGAAGGAAGATTGTCCTGTCATCCAGAGAACTTCTCATGCTAGTTTAGTCTAGTGCTCAATGACAATGGGTAGTCATTATTGTAAGTGTTGACTGATTACTTGAGAGAATTTACCAGAAGCTGACTGGTGCCTTCAGAGGTCAGCTCTACAAACTGTGTGGTTGGCTTAGTTGTTAAATGAACACCCGTATTTTGAAGTTGCACTGTCTTCAGTGGTTCCCTCCAGTGAAGGCACGTATTCTTTTCTTACTAGATGATAGTATGCAACTCTCCGTGTCTGAATTCTTGCTATTCAAGTTCCAGAATCATATCAATATGCAAAGCTTCTTGATGAGTCCCTATTCATTCTCAATCTAGCAACTCATTATTTGAAAATTCAGGAACCGAGTAGATTTGTGTAGCAAAAAATACTTAGTGTTAATTATATTTTCAACCTATCATTACAAATATGAAGGTTTAAAAAATAGTAACTTTCTGATCCTTGTTACCCTCTTCATTTAATTATTTTTAATTTATTTTCTATTATTACAGAGATTTTTTCTTCTGCCTAAAATCTTGCAAAATGTAGAGAGCCAGAAAATGTTTATTCAGTGTCATTTAAAAATTTTGAAATGTCATTGTATTTTGATAACTTAGTAACAAAGACAATTCCAGAAAGATACAAGAAAATGTATAATCTTCAAAGTAGCAAAAAGCACAGGCATGTCAGATTGCTCTGCCATATTAAAAAGAGTCTAGTGCTTTTATTTCAAAAAGTGTGCTTATTCTCTGTTGTTAGAGCTCTACAAACAGTCTTCCATGTCTCAATTATCATTTCCACTGCTTTTCACTGGTTTGTAGTGCTTGGTAGCTATCCACTGAGACCTAAGTATGTGCCTGCTCTTCAGTTGCACTGGTAAAATATGTCTGTTAGTATACTAAACTTGGATTCTTTTTTTGAGCAGGAGTATTCAACGAAGCAGCTGACCAATCTGGTAAATGTTTGCCTGGGATCCCATATCAATAAGAAAGCAAGACAGAAACTTCTAGCAGCTATAGATGATATAGACAGACCCAAAAGATAATGAGCACAATTCTGTTTTGAATTGGCGTTGATCTTCTTTCAACATATATGACATGAAAGCCAATTTTTTCATGCACTCCCGACAACTGTCTGCTAAAAAACCTTTGTGCATGTTCTTTCCAACTGGACAGTGGAAAACACTGAAGTTTGTATGGTGTATGTTCTCAGATGACTTTGACATGCTCTGATCTCTTCAACTTTTAGTCTCATTTATTGTACTCCTTTCCTGAAATGATATTATTGCCTCATCATAAATATTGTTATGTGACTACAGTATACATGTTAGAGAAAATGTACCATAAGTGTGCAATTAGGAAAGAACAGTCACAGTACATCCATGGGCAGTTTTTGGAGAATGAGTTTGTGTTGGCATTTTTTTATCCTCTGAATTTGGTTCTTAGTAAGTGTAATATAAGAGGGTTATTGTACAGTATCTCCTAATTATGAACACTGCATGAGAACTGACAAGTACTTGTAAGCAAAATAGTTGAAAATCAGTATGTTATCTGTATTTTGAAATGTGAAAGTTTCTGTCAGGGTTGATTTGGTTATAACACAGTGATCATAAGTGGTGAAATTGAATAAATATTATACTCTAATATGACCAGCCTATGTAAGACTGCATTTTGATGTTTTTCCACAGCAGGCAGAATTCATGAAACTTACCGTGGAATTTTTTTCGGCATGTTCTAATTTTAATGATCTTATCTATACCCAAACCAACTAATTTCATTTATTATACCTTTTCAGTGCCTGAGTAGCATACAGAATGGTGATTGTGGGACTTTTTCTTTTTTAAAAGGTGGGATTTTTTTCATATTAGCTTTGTTCTCTTTGAATTTAACTTTTGTCTTAGGATAATAAAACCTGGCTTAGCTGACTTAGAGAAAGGACTGTCTATTAGTCAAACATAAGTATAGGGTTATATGTTCACCTTTCTTAAATTATCTGCTTGTGTAAAATAATGTGAGTTCAGCCAATGATATACTTTGGAACTCAGTTAAGTTGTCCTTAGTCACTGTGTACTGTTCCTTTATACTTGGCTTTGAAGCCATGAATTTTCTGCCATGTACATGATAAAAAATCAGTTTCCCATGTACTCCTGCCATTGTCGGATGAGGAGTTTTTGCATGTTCTTTCTGACTGGAAAGCAGAAAACATCCACGTTTGTGTATGTTGGTCCAGGATAACTGGGCATGACCTTCTCTTGAGAAATGGGCCTGTGTCTTGTGAGTCTTTGGGAGCAGAGGTACTGAAGCTGAGGGCAAAGGGTGGCATGCAGTCAAGCGTAGAGGTGATAAGGAGACACTTGCCGGTCAGTGTCCATCAGCCCCTGCAGATGCCCAAAGCCAGTACAGTATAAGTGGTGCTCTTCTACAGTATGTCTGTACATGTGTGTCTGTGTGTTGTTTTTCGTTCTCAGCCTCTTACTTTGCAGTTCATTTATTGTCAGTTTAATACTATTAGTAAAACTTAACCTCTTATAAAAAGGTATGAGTTCGGTGGCACTATATCCTGTACTTGAAAGGCAGATTCTGCTGGTAGCCATTATCTTTATGCAGCCTCTTGAAGAAAACAAACGAGATAAACTTGGCCCTTGTGTTTAAGTGACATACTCAGCTGGGCACAGATAGAGCTAATTGATCTCATTTATTTCTCGAGTTGATTAGCAGCTGCTTTTTTTTTTCTTTTACATGGGTTTTATGGTGGGCTTCCTTTAATTTCTACTTTAGTTTGCTCTATATAGTATGAACAGCAGTTACCTGCCAGATGGAATGTTTTCTAAGATGATAGGAATGGATACAAATTGAATTACTTGTTAGAGACTCAGCATGCATGCTGACCAGGCCTTTTAACTTACTCATACTTTGCTTTCTCCATATTGAAGATAAAAATGATTCATCTTTTCATTCCTTCTTTGAGAAAGGTTTTTATTTTTTTTGCATTTAAAGGTTGTTTAGTAAATGCTTGTTGACATAAAAACAGTTACAGGATACTTAAATCATGAAATTACCCAACAGTAGAGTTACCAGACATTTCTTAAATCATTACACAGTGATATTGAATTATAACCATGTAACAATTTTCTGAAACGAATTTTAAGATAAATGGAATTGAAAAGCTTGAGAAAAGTATTATCATGTTCCAAAAACTTTATTATAAAAAATTTTTGTCTAAATTTTCCTTGACTTTAACATTTTATAAAAAGTGTCCTATAGAATTCAAGATTTTAAGTTGATATGAGAGTATGGGAAATTAATATCCCCTAAGAAAGAATGATTATTTCTACAGATACTTTATCTTGCATTAAAAAATATTAGAGTGATACATAGCAATTCAGGTGAACTGGTTTGCTTCAGTTTATAAAATCTACAGAGATATTATAAGTTCACTTTTGACTAAGAAGCTCATTTGCTCAACTTACAAAATGACAGAATTTCTCTTGAAGGCAGGACTATTTTATATCTTTAAACAGTTCCCTCTGAAAATTCTGTTTAGCTGAGTACTAAAGTGAAACTAAGTTAGATTAAATATTTTTCTTCACTCACATGCAGTCATAAAAATGTCTTATAATTCAATTCATTTTGAAAGCATAGTTACCTTTTGTAATGAAAGAATGGCCCTGAAGATGAGATATAAGTTATGCTCAGAGCAAAGAGAAGTGGTCCAGGGCAAACATATATATATATATTTATATATATTCTTCAGAGTAATTTTAATATTGACTTAGTGATTAACAGAATGATATTTAATTTGAGAATGTTATGACAGAATTATTAATTATAATCTTTATAAACATTTTTTTTCATTTTTGATGAATAACATTTTCTAAGTTACTGTGTGGTCACTTCTTGACCCCAGCAATCAGGAAGACTCTGCCCCATGCCAAGAGTTCCCAGATTTGGTCTTTCAGGAGTTTTTCACAATGAGCTTAGCTTTTCAACCTAGAAAAGGGATTTTCTGGATCAGCAGCCTATATTTTATTGTTGCTTCCACAACCCTGGTCTTTGGATTCTGCCAATCAGTAACCGGAAGGATTTATGTTTTAAAGAAAAGACATTTCCAACTGTGGGGGCATTTTTGTCCAGCCACTGCAAATAGCATACCAATCTTTGCTTTAGACAGAAGGGACATTTTAGTCAGAGTTTCTGTTTCAGCAGAGGTCACTTTTGGAACCTCTGCTAAAGTTTAATTATGCCCTTGGATAGCCATGGAAAGACAGTTTTGGCTGACTACCTATTGTCTACCTTATGTCCTACTATTCCCACTTCCTTATCACAGTTTCATCTTTAAGAATCCAAGCAAGATGCTATGTTTTCCATGAAATGTATCTTCCTCAGGAGTAGGTGCTGTAGAGAGGAAGTGATAGGCTAATAGAGTAAACCAAGAGAGGTGTGATGGTGGCTCGGGTTGCTAGGAGGATAGGTGGATAAGGTGAGAAGTGGTTGGATTCTGGACATTTCAAAGGTAGAGACAGTAGGGCTTATTGGTTGGTTGATGTGATGTTTGAGAAAAGAGGAGTTAAAGATGATTCTGAGACTTTTGCTTGAGGAAGTAGATGTCTTTGGGAGAACTGGGTTTGTGAAGATGTTCAAGAGAACAGTTTCAGACAGGTGAGTTTGAGATACCATTGGAGCTGTAGAAGGGGTGCACACATGAGTTTGGAGAAGAGATCAGGATGGTAGATGCAAATGTGAGTCATCGGTGTGTAGCATACAACCAAAGCTTTTAGGAAGGAGAAAGATCATACTTGGCCTATGAACATTAATGAGTATTGGTTGGACAGGTTTGGGCCCTTCAGAGCTGCCATCTGCCTTGCACGGGCTCAGGACTGTTTCCACATCAACACAGGAAGGGTAAAGGAATAGGTTTCCTTGGGAAGACTTAGAAGCCTGGGACAGGAGAAAAGAGAAGCCATTGTCTCCCACCCTCTTGCCGTTGTCAGCAGGAGAGTCAAGACCGGGGCTAGGAGAGTACAGAGACTACTGGGCAAGGGATTTTTTTTTTCCAGTAGCACATATGAGAGCAGCTCACCACCTAGTGACCTGGTGCCTGTGGATGTTGTATTTCCTTTGGGAGAAGAAGCCATCTCCTTCATAAAGACGAGTTCTGGTAGAGCCCCTCCCTAGCTAGCCCATCAGACAGGCAACCTGAGTGAGCTGCTGCGTCAGGCACTGGCTTGGCTGCAGTGGTTGAGGTGACAGTCCACGCCTTCAGAGAGCGTAGATCTAACAGGAGAAACAGATGTAAGACGTATTCAGTGGAGTATTCCTAACACAGATTCTGGAGTGGGAGTCAGGGAAGGCTGCGCTGGGGAAGAGATGGTCAAGTAAAGGCGGAAGATGAGTAGTAGTGAGGTGAGGAGGCTGAGGGAAGGTTGTGCTTAAGGCCAGCATGGTTGGCACACAGAATAGAGGAGGCAAGGGGCACAGGGAAGACTGAAGAGATGTGGTGAACTTTAAATGTCTTTGGCAGCCAAGCAGGAGACGTGAATAAAGCAGCAGATTAGTAATGAATGACAGGCATTTTAAGACATGGACAGTGCAGGCTTGGCTGTATCTACATGCACTTGAATTATAATTTTAATCTTCATCCAAATGAACGACTCTCCTCCACTAGCTCATTAGTTATGGGGAGGAGGAAGTCTGTAGAGGGGGGGAATGTCCCAGAGTATTGATCTGTGTGTTCCCCTGTGCATCTTGACAACACTTAGCACAAGATCTTAACTCAAAACTTCACACAATGGCTAAAATACAAGTACTTAGGCCCCTTGAACTAGAATTCCTCCCTTAACTGTCCCGCACTGTTGCTCACTTTATTTGGGGCAGGATTGTGTTGATGTACTTTACACTCTAGAACTCCTTGTACTGGATCAGTCACATAATTGTGTATGTTTATTGACTTCTCACTGCTGTGAAAAGAGGAAGAATTGCTCAGTTGAAAAGAGGTGCACACTGGCATCTGAAGCTGAAACATTACCAATTTAAAAAAAAACAATAATTTCAATTTCTTCTTTTTAACAGCTGCAGGCTGCCTGAGATGACATGACTTGTTTTCATAGACTGCCCTAGATCAGTGATTCTCAAAGTGTGGTTCCCAGATCAGCAGCCTGAGCATCACCTGGAAACTCATTAGATAAGCAAATTCTCAGACCCCAGCAAAGACCTACATAGTCAGCAACTTTGAGGGTGGGACCCAGCAATCAGTGTGTTTAACAAACTCTGATGTGTGCTAAGTTTGAGAACCACTGCCTTGACACACAGGTACTGAAATGAAGTGATCTGGAGAAGCTATTAACCTGAAACTTTTTTCCCCTTACAGAAAGGACTTACAGACAGACTGCTGAGAAGTTTTTTGTCATCGCTGTTTTTCTTAGACAATATTTATTTTTTGCCTACTTTGGTATAAGAGTTGTTACTTTTCCATGAAATGAATGTTAGAGCATTGCCTTCCCTGTGTGAGCCTCCACGAGTGGCTCGTGTTTGAGGAGCTCAGCAAGCACGTGTGTCTCCCTCCCTACATGGACTTCAGTGGAATGAGAAAGATTCTCCCAGGAGATTTTTAATTGGTATGTGAGTCAGGAGTAGTGAAGCAAGTGAGACT